AGGTGATAACCAACACCTTGAATTGGACCTGGAAGCAAACTGGTACCCAATGCAGCTCATGAAGCAGTGGTGTTATATGAGTCCTTCTTTAGGGCCCAAAAATAGCTCACGCGGCTCCATTCTGGACCAGCTGAAGCTTTCGTATACTCTTCAAGGGTAGCCCCATGTAGAGCGCATTGCAGAAGTTGATCTGGGAGATAACAAGGGCATGAGTGAACGTTTGAAGGGCATCCCGATCTAGGAAAGGGCATAACTGGTGCACAACCCGAAGTTGTGCAAAGGCCCTCCTGGCCATGGCTGCCACCTGCTCCTCGAGCAGGATCCGTGAGTCCAGGAGGACCCCCAGATTACACACTGGGTCTATCTGGGGCAGTGCTACCCCATTCAGCACCAACGATGACAAAGTCCCGGATACAGAGGAGCCATTAACCCACAGCCATTCCGCCTTACCAGGGTTCAGCTGAAACCTGTTGTTCCCCATCTAGACCCTTACAGCCTCCAGGCACCGCGAGAGGGTGGTCACGGCATCACTTATCTCACCTGGGATGGAGATGTATAATTGAGTATCATCCGTCATGATGATACTCAGTTATATTTTGGCCCTGTCCTCTATCAAATCCTCATTTAGTTGCCATGGCCCTTTACATCTGGGGCTGAATATCTGCAGTGAGGTAAAAGTAAAATCTCAAAAAAGTTGAATTCAACTTCTGGTGACTGAATGGACACATCCATGTTGTTTTCCTGGTAATAATAGCCCACTTTATTGCTCTTTCTGTGCAGAAACTGCAGGAGATATTCTTTGAGTCTAATAACTCCTTGGAAGATATTTATTATTTATATAGAATGTTTTTTGTAAGGTAATTTAATTCATATTTATTCTATTTTAATTAATACTTCTTTTTACTGTAAACCACTCTGAGTCACTCTGCAGTGAGATGGGTGGTGACAAATTTGAAATAAATAAATAAATAAACAAGGCAGTGATTTGCTGTTGTGTTTTTCTCATGCACTTTCTTTTATTTTTTCAGTCTAGACTCTGACCCTGGGACTTCCTTGTCTCAGCTACTTATTCAAATACTAATTGGGTTTGACCCTGTTTAGCTTTTTTAAGGTTGAACAGGGTTGTCTAGCTATTGTCACTTACAATGGTGGCCTGGCTCTAATTGTTCAATATCTTTGTGCTATTTAGAATAATAAAGTTGGGTTTCTAAATTGTGTAGAGCATTTAAATAAGTAAGGACATCTCCCTGTTAGAGTAGTGAATTTTTGAGTGTGGAAGCAGTGGGAATTTTAGCACATAATGAAGCCAGTAGGTTAATCTGTATTCTCTCTAGTGCATGTGTTTTGAGAGAACAACAGAAGCTTCTCCCACCCTCCAGTTATTTCTTGC